AAGTGTTCTTCAATCACTGAAATTTCATCATTTTCCAAATTCATTTATTGTTGAATCAATGCATACCATTTATCTGGGTAATACATGTTTACCATGACTTTTAAGTTCTATTACTTAAACAATGAATTACCAGTTTTTCACAGAACAGCGTAGAAACTTCGCCAATATCTCATTCTGTAGAGAATGGAAGGGGCTATTCAATGATGTGATTGAACAACTTCTGAAGATCACTAGATTTTCTAGAAAATCGAGTTTTTTAGAAATCTCTATCTCAAGACCCGAGTTTGGACATACTAAACTTTTAAATAATGATCCTAGTATATCTGGATGTGCTCTTATATTTAAAAAAGAATTATTTTACAAAAAGAGGTTAATTTAATCTTCGCTGTCTTCATTTTGATCGGTAAACGTCAACTGTTGTTTCGCAATGTTTATGAATAATAATCCTAAAAGCAATTTTGTCTCACTATTTAAAATGTTACAGTTGATTTTATACGAAAAACTACTTATCAAAATCTTGATTGCTTCTACCTGTTATTGAATTTCATCCTTATTTGTAATATTTAAATAAGAGATAATGCATCTCAACCTGCTCGACGAAGGATCGCATATTTCTCGAAATGGATTTTCAGTTTTTTTCTTTTCGTGCGTCCAAGATTTCTCAGCCATTTTACACAATAGAAAGCTCAGAAGGTTTTAAATAGAACAGAAAATTGCGCTCTACAACTTAACAGAGCCACATTTTTCATTTTCGACTTACCTTTTAAAGAAAAATGAATCTTTTTTCATAGAAGTACCCATAATTTTCCGAACTTTTTGAAAAGGCTCATGCCAAAAATCAACAAAGGACAATTTTAAGAGTCCGTGTCTGTTAACCTTTAGCAGCAAGTGTTGACTATATCTTGAGACCAATCCGACATCTGTACCATTAGATTTGGAGGAGAAATCTGGAACACTCGGATACCTACTTTTTGCTTCTTAATATAGGGATAACTGTTGAAGAACTCAATATTTTGCGCTGAAATACTTTAAGCTTCGTAGGTCCTGGCACATATTTCCTGAAGTTTTCAGCTAGATCGTTTGTCTTGGGACGAAAATAGATTATGATAGGAGGGACCTTAAACAAAAATAAGTTTTAATCATAGTTCTAAATAGTATCCATGATATACTGCATTTGTTATGAGTTCCTCGACATTCTAGCTGACCAGCCTAGAGAGAAGTGTTTTTCAAAATGATATAAAAACGTTTTTAATATTATATGTTGTGCGGTTTTGAAACACATGTTTTACTGGGCTTGCCATCTAGAAGGTTAGGTGGTTTACAGCAAATGTAATATACCATGAGTACTATTTAGAACTACGATTAAAAACTTGAGTTTCAATACTTCTCAGAGAAAACGATTCACAGTACTCAACCCGCGTACTCCGACATTTCACTGTATATTGGAGTTTTCGTACTTGAGTGAAGTATTTTTGTCATGTATGAAAACATTTTTTACGAAGTTTTGATGCTCATTTTGCTGAGAATTTTCAGTTCTACAAAATGAAAAAATCTATTTTCTGCGATCATATATAAGGAAGTCTTTATTTTGAATACTTGTGAATATAATCATATTTTTAATATAATAACTTATAAGAGTAATAATAGTTGAACGTAATAGTGAACAAATGACTTTCTACAATAATGAGTTAAAATTATAAAAAATACGTGATACCTTTTAAACTGATGTATGTCAAAAACAAGTTCTAGTTTATATGAGTGCATATTAAAATCATGAGAAGACATAAGATTAACAAAGATCTGATTCTCTCAACTTTACAACTTTCAATATTGAAATCTCAGCATGAATAAAGATAGAGAAATATAATAGATAAAAGACTGTTTTATTAATATGTAGCTTTAAAAGCATGATGACTATAACCAGCTCTATCGAAACCTTGACGATCATAACCATCTTTATTATAACCAGCTCCATCGAAACCTTGAGGATCATAACCAGCTCTATCGAAGCCTTGACGATCATAACCATCTTTATTATAACCAGCTCCATCGAAACCTTGAGGATCATAACCATCTTTATCATAACCAGCTCCATCGAAACCTTGAGGATCATAGCCACATGTATCAAAACCATCTCGATTGTATCCATTGCGGTCGAAACCTTCTCGATTACGGCCATCTTTATCATAGCCTTCAATATCATATCCATAATTATCGTACACTTAAAAAGAAGGAAAAAGAATTAAGTCAGTTGCAAGAAGGGAATTATTTCCAACAAATATTAAGCACTTGTAAAATCACTCACTTCCACTTTGTTCATCTAAATTACGTAAATACTCGTTAGCTCGTCCCAGTATCTGTATGTCATCATTAGTTAATATCACACCATTTGCTATATCTTCTTTATACCGGTCAACGATATGGAAAGCTTTGTCACCCTATGGAACCAAAAAACCTATTCTATATGTCGAAGTGTTTATATAGACTTACGTCGTCTTGATTATATGGTTCGCTGTCCATGATAGGACCAAAATATTTTGGAATTTAAAGTACTGTGTTGATAGTTCTAGAAATACATTAAAACAATAAACAGTAAAGTCATACTGTATATCGTGCTATATACAATAAGAATATACAAACATGATTTTAATTAACATTTTGATTCCTTATAAACATACGGAAGATAGGTTTTAAAGGATGTAACGAAAGCGTCGGAAGAAAATACCCTTTCAGAGAAAGTCATATTACGATCTCACCAGTCTATTGCGCTAGTGATTCCAATGTTTCTCTTAAGCAACTACTTAGGTACTATTACTATTACTAGTGGTAATACTAGTGGTAGACACTGTACTATCTACCTAATACTGTACTATTACTAGAGGAGATAATGCTCGACAAAGCGATATATAAAGTCAACATCATTGAACTGTTTCCAATACATTGAGTTTTAAAATGACTACAATACCTGAATGATAATATTAGTGCTCGACGGAAGCTGTTCTCTTAGATTGACATTACACTTGAAAAAGAACAAACTACACAACAAAACAAGAAGACCCATGTAGAAAGATAGATAATAAGATACGTGCAAGAATCTTGATATTCTAAAACGCCTGCCTTTTCACAGTTCCACTTTATCGTTTCGTTGCAGCTCCTCTGCTCTGTGTAGATAAGGAAATGAAACTGATATCTTCATTTTCTATTACTAAAAAGTATTTTTGTCATTCTACTACCAAAAAAACAATGTGCTTTAAAAGCATTCCACTTACGTGCAAAGAATTGGTTTTGGGATCAACAATATATTTAAATAATTTACATAGATTTGTTCTATCCGTAATGATATGCGTTGGTTTAAATAAATTCCTTGTATATATGGTTGAACCTTGACCCACGACTATCCTAATGAATAATGAGCCTAATAAACCCCGTGTTACGAATGACGATCATAATGTATTAAATATTCCGTTACTTCAAGTTTGTATCGATGTAATGGTGTAATTATCACTCCTGCAGC